GATCTCTTCAAAAATGTCGCAGATTCTTTCTGCAAGGCCATTAGTTGCGGCGTACTCTCGGACTGGAAATTATTGATACAGATATGGGATCGGCTTAGCCAATGCTTGCTCACTGCACTTCTTCATTTTTATCTCATCATCTGTGAGAATGTACCCCAAACCACATCTCGCTCCTTTGACGGGGACTGGATAAGGCTCAATAATCCCTTGGGAATTCCTTCCCAATCTGAAACCCAATTCAAATCCATTTTGCAACATCACAATGGTGATCATCTTGTACACGGAAGGCATAAGAGGTTGTGGGGCAAAGTCGACACCTGTGGCATTTACCAGCTCCACCGTGTAAAAATTGGTACCTCGCAAAACTTCATCAATAATGGGTATATTCCAGCCGGAGTGACTCCCTTCACCGTGATTAACCAGTTCTTAGTCCTTCCAAACAATCTTCATCATTTGGTGAAGAGTAGAAGGCATAGCTCCAGCCATATGGGTGAAAGGCTTTCCCAAAAGAAGGTTATAGTTGGTGTCAATGTCCAAGACCAGAAACTATGCACTGAATTTTGTCAGACTCATTTGGATGACCAGATTTACCACTCCCGACGTGTCTCTTTGTACTCCGTCAAAGGCTCTTACATTGACCTGGTTTTGTTCCAGCTTCCCCTAGTCAAACCTTAACAGCCTTAGAGTTGACAGCGGGCAAATGTTGAGACCAGAACCATCATCTACCAGGATACCGTTTATGACCCTTTCGCGGCATAAGACAGTTAGTTACATGCAAAACCTTATTGTGCTACCTTCTTTCAAAGGGCAACTCTTCGTCACAGAATCTAATCTGATGCCCTCGTATAACTTGGTTGATCATAGTCGACACATTATCGTTGCTTGTGCCCACGCGCACATACACATCATCAAGGCATGTCTATGCAATTGGGAGCTCATCATCAGGGCCCACACATAAATTTGGGCTGGAGTTTTCTCCAAATGCTTAACAATCGAATAATCCTTTGGCTGCATCTTCCTCCAGAATTCTTCAACTTCAGCTTCTCTTATTGGCCTCTTTCCTTAATCCTTCTTGTGTCCTCCAGCTAACTCTTTGGGAGTATAACACCTCCTAGATCGGGTCATACCCTGAGCGGCTGCGGTTTCAATCATGAACTTCGGCCTAGCAGGAGCTTCAATTAGCACCAAGGCAACAACCTTTGCGGGTGTCAAGATCCGAACTCCTTTTTCTCTTTAACGCTCAACGAAGCCACAACCCTCTCTATCATATTGGTGCCTCCATGATTCGGCAAAGGATTGGTGTTGACATTGGGCGCGGTTGTTTGAAGAGAAACCACTTCTTGGTCGTCAGATCTTAAATCTTGTGTTTGAGGTTGATACAGTCCTCAGTATCATGTCCAACACTGTTGAAGTGATACGCACACCTTTAATCGGGTGGTAGTTTGGAACTAGTATCCGCCGGCTTGGGCCCCACCGGGTGAATGTATCCAATTCCACCCAGTCTCTCGTACAACTTTGCTCGGCTTTCAGCGAGCGCGATACAGTTTCTGGGGGGCTTCTTCTCAAATCTGGGTCGAGGGAGATCATAGGTACCTTGTTGGGGAGGAGGCATCTGTTGATAATTTCGAGTATTTGGACGGGGAGTTTGTCTTCTTGAATATGGATTTATTTGGTAATTTAGTGATGGAGATTGTAATTCGTGAGGGCATTTTGGTATAATGGAGCTTGGACTTGATATATAGTGGGGGTGCTCTGTAGTTTGACTGCACATTGACACAGTTAGGAGCAATATTTTCGTAAATGGTGAATGGAATCTTGATAATGTGGAGGAGGTTTTTGGTAAACATGAGATGAATTTTGGTAATTTGGAGGGGGACATTTGGGTATGTGGAGGTAGCATTCTGGTAGACAAGAGGAGGAGTATTTGGACAACTAGCTTGCGTGTAGCAAGACTGGTAAGAATTCTAGGAAGGTCGAGGACGACCTTGGTAGGATGATGATCTTCTATGGCCTTCCTCCCCTCGTAACAGATAACAGAAACGTCATCTATTTTCTTCTTCAACAAAATCGATGATCCGGGCGACGCAATAACACGGGCAATCTTCCCAGTTTTCAACCCATCTTTGATTGTCTCACCAACCTTGACTATCTCAGCAAATTTTTCTCCTATTAGCAATATGATTCTGTCTTAGTATTCGGGCTCTTGAACCTACACGAATACTTCAACTATCTCTTTCTCGGACATAGGAGGCCTTATTCTAGCCGCTTATTTTCTCCACATGTATGCAAACTCTGTAGCTTTCAGTTGAATTTTGCTTCATCTTTTTCAGAGAGTAGCGATCGGGAACAATTTCCACGTTATAAGAAAATCGATTGATAAACTACTTGGCTAGAGCATTCCAACTGGGCCATTGTCTGGTTTCATGGGAAGTGAACCATTCGAGAGCCTCCCTGCATAGACTTTGGCTAAAGAGCCGCATCAACAAAGCTTCATCTCTACCAACCCTGACAAGTTGGTCGCAGTAGGCTTTCAGATGGGCCATAGGATTTCCTACACCTTTGAAAGTATCAAATTTTGGAATCTTGAACCCTTCTGGTAGGTCTAGATTCGGATAAATGCACAAATCCTCATAGTTCATACCAGCAACTTCAGGGATGCATTAGAACTCCTTCACTTATTTTACTTTATATTCACATTTGCCTCTTCTTTTTCCCTCCACTATCTTTCCTGCTCCTCGTAATGGTCTAGCTCAAAACCGTGCACATCGTGCTTAGTTGGGACGGGGATCTGGAAAGTTATTTTTTAGGTATGGGTGGACCTGCGGAAGGACTTTGGACATTCTGGGTAGTTTAATAGTTTTGCGGATAGGTTTGGGGATTAGTATTTTGGTTTTGGTGGTGGTGAGGAGTTTGGGGGTGGAATGAGTTTTGGTTTTGATTCTTTTTTTGCGGTGGTGGAGCGGTTTTATGGTGGGTATTTTGAGGATGAGGTGGTATTTGGGAATGGTTGTTTTTAGGAGGTGGTGGAGTCAGGTAGGAGGCGATGGCATACTGAGGATTTTGGGTATTCAAATCAATGACGGAGGGATTTTGAGTAGGAGTAGATGACATATTTTGAGCTGGATTCATGTTCGAAGAAGGGAAGTAGAGAGGAGGTCTCCCATCAGTAGCAACGTTGACACTAAAACCTGGTGGAGGCAGATCCTGTCTCCTTTGCATTTCCACTCTCATTTCAGCAATCTGCTGCATTAACTGCATAATCAATTTGTTTTGATCTGCTATGGTGGGTTGAGCCACCATAACATCAGTGAGACTGATTTTTTTGTAGTTGTCTCCCATTACCGTTTTTCCCTTGTTTAAATTTTTGTCGGGAAAGGAATATGCAGGACCTTTGGATCAAGTGAAGTATGGATGATCAGCCATTTTAATCGACACATGCCAGTTTCAAATTACCTAAGATGGAAAACCACTCAAAGACAGATTTGTCAGTTTATGTTCAGAATACAAAATGCAGGATATCACATAGAGAGAAGATAAACACACAAAGTTGTTTTGTTTGAGGACATCTTGACCCACGAGTAAAGGGAAATTATCTTTTTAACAATAGGAGTTTGCTTGTTTTAGTTTGACACTATCTCAGAAAGGTTAGATCACGTTGAGTCAAGTTCTTCTTGCAGCTGTTCTTTAGCGTCCGTTGATCTGGTCTTCGTATCTTCTTGTAATATGAAAGGGGGAGAATGAAAATTTTAAATGATAGGGGTCGGGCCTTGGAAGGCTTTCTACGTATCTCGCAAGTAGAATTCAGTCCCTACGTAGTTCGAATAAAGGAAATACTTGTTCTTCATTCATTCATTCATTACGATTACAAGGAAATTGAAAAACAACAAAGCTTTTAAAAGATAAACGGTGTCCCCATCTCATTCGTTCTTTTTCTTGTTGTAGAATCAGCCACGAGGAATAGACTCGACTTGAATCGTTCCTATGCTGACAAGATATTCAACATTGTGGCGGAAGGCAAGACACTTTTCAACGCAGTGGTCTGTGGCATTGTGATAGGGGCAATATTTTTGAACTTCGAACCAAAGGGAATACAACACGTCCACGTCCTTGTAGAAAGGGGTGAAGACTCCATTTCGAACCAATTCTGAATAGACCTCCAATATCGTTTTCTTTAAAGGCGTGAATGAGAAACAATAGAATATATTCCTCTCATTGAGTGGTATGTCTAGCTGTGGTTCATCACATGCAATGATGACTCCATCACCCCAACTGTTCACAGTATTGTCCATATCGAGCAAATGACGGACCGCATTCTTAAGCTCTATGCACTCCTCTATCGTATGCCCTTTCTTGTTAGGATGACACTCACAAGTCTTGCGGGTGTCCGCTGATCCCACCTGGGAAGATACTCTTTCGACGGGCCTCAACATACACATAGATTGATAATGCTCGAAAATGAGGGCGCACAAAATGGCTTCCATTCTTGTTCGGCGTTCTTGTGGATATGCTTCGAGAGTTATTTTCTGGTCCCCTTCTGCCATACGTTCTTCGAGAGAAGGTTTGCAAGCGACCGCTTCCTCATAACTTTCTTCAATGTTCTCCAATTCGGGGTTCTCAGGAGGAAACAATAGATCATAGCGGCGCTTTCCGTGCTGCTTTCGTATGTCGACCATCTCTTCTTCGGTTGGTTCAGTATGTATATTCTTTCCTTTGTCCATAACTGTGATCTCACCTTTCATGAGAGGTTAGAGTAGTGTTTTATGATCTGGAGAAAGGATTTTGCTTTTGTTTGAGAAACTCAAGACTCAAGGAATCTGGTCGGACATTTTGTAATAGTGACTTGTGTGCATATTTTTCAGAAATTTCTGGAAAGGAGTGGGTTAACGATGCCCTCATTCAAAACAGCATATCACATAAACAGTTAAAAACACATATATCGCATTCTAATCATGCATGTGGCCTTTTGTGCCAAGGGCAGGCCTAGCGATCTGAAGGATGTATTGCATCATTTAAAACAAATTGTTGCACCCCCAAAATAAACTTTACAAATAATCATAGCATTCGTTACAGAGTTTAATCAACACGGGGGTACATTTTGGGGAAGGGGAATACATTGCAAATACAAATAGAAAACAATCCCACGCAAGGGAATTAGAAAGTTGAAGATCCTGCTCCTCTGGCATTTTCTACCTCTCACGAATGATGTACTTGCTTGTTACCATGTACGGCTCGGCACACACAGCTTTGGAAGACGGTGGCATAGATCGAAGAGTATTGATCTGCTCGTCCAGGGTGGTATCTAGACACATCAAATAAGTCCTCGCATTGGTTAACTCTTGTGACATGACAACGAAGACCCTCTGGCTTTCAAATTCTCTGAAGTGGTACTCTTGCTCTCATTATCGAAATTCATGTTCCCTTTGGTCCCATTCCTGCTGAAAATGATATGCGTGAATTTGAATCCTCATTTGGACATCTTCAATTTCTCGACCCACGCGTGGTGTCAGGTTCACAACACCACGCAAATCATCCTGAAACCATGTTTTGTATTCATCAACATACCCGGCTTCATACCTGTTTTCAGCAATACTTACTTTCAGGTTGACGCGCCCAGCCCATTTTTGGAGGATGGTTTTGGCGAAAGGTATTTTAATACACCCGTTGTAATCAATGACAAAAGAGTTGGTATCCCCTTGGACCGGTGTGGTTTGTGTTCTACCTAATTGTCGCATCAACCTAGCTGGATTGTGTGGTCGCATTCCTCTAATGCTGGAAAGGACCATAAAAGGACGCTTGGCCCCACGAGCTTCGATCTTCTGTGACATAAAGTTTTGGACTCGTGCATCCCTTATGGTGTGAATTGGGAACCCACAGATGCTTATATAAAACTCATTATTGTCAAGGGAACTCGTTTGGCTTGGTTTGGACAACTCTTGTTGTTGGGTGCCGTTTTTTTTACACAGATGTTCTTTCATCACCACTGAAGCACAATGTTGCACCCTTGGAAAAATTGGAATCTATTCTTACACAAACTCAGAGATCGATAGATGTCAGCCAAAATAATTGGGGCCAAACTGTAGTGTTTCTTTGCTTCTTCTCCTTTACCAATTCCTCTGAAGATGGCGTCAACTACCATCACTACCCGAGTATCGATCACTTTTTCTTCATCCTGAGGGAACACCATTGTTCCTAAAAGGCATACAGAGAACGTGATAGTCAGAGTTTGTCTCCAAGTATTGTGATTATAGAACTCGTTTGGAAATAATTTGAAATAGCTTTCGTGCCCCCACCTTTCGAAAAATCTCATTAGTGGTATATTTTGAGCATCCAGCAGTCCGCGTTCACTAACAGTAACATGTCTTTCAGTTTTGCACTAGTCGGTCTATCTGGTAGAAGGATGTGATGATCTGGATATTTTATCCTCTTGCCACATGTTCCGATGGAGTCTAAACAATCCTTTATCTCCTCTATTTTTGGGTATATTTCGACGTCTCCAAATTGAAAAACCATTCTTTTAGCATCCCAAAACCTAGTAATTACCTCGATTAACGTGGGCCAAACCTTGAAGTCTATTATCGAAGGTAGGTGACCCAAGTGAATCAAGATTTCTCTCTTTTGACAGTCTTTGAGGTTGTTCCACCATACGCGAAGAATGTCTGGTGTCTCGGTGACCATTTTGAAACTGAGGAACTGATTTGACGTCTACAAAAACATAGAACTAGTCAGTTGCCACCCCCCAGGACACAACAATCCGTAAAACATGCAAACATCCTTCAAATAGCACATAAATATGATCGTCCTAGCGTGCTGTGGGCTCTTTGGACTCAGGGCGGTCTTTCTAATGGGCTCAACACTCCTTGGGTGTTGGGTCATCTTAGGCCAATACGCTAATTTTGGGATTTGGTTTCACTCTATCTTAGTTTGACTAGGAGTAGGGTTTTATTTATAAATAAAATAGAATTAAAACAAATAATCGTATTCTAGATATGCACGACAGACATTACATGACAAGGTGATATAAACTGAATGGGTTATTCAATATTAGCGATAACGCATAATGAGAATATATGAGATAACAAATAAAAAGTAAAGAAATAAAAATCATAAGCATGACAAAAACAAAACAAACATTGTATATCTCACATCGAGATTAAAAAAACGAGCTTGCCTAAAGACATTAATCATTGTTAACTCAAACAAACACAGTTTAAGGCAATTGTTTATGGAGACCGGAGATAATCAGCCAAAGGCAAAGGACGGAGGGAGAGAGTGATGGCATGAAGGAAAAACGAGATCCGGAAGCCTGAGTCATTTAATCACCAAATATCCAAGCAACTCCACCCTTAGACAAGATCTTTACTAAATAGAAGGGGTAATTAATTATTCTAAATGATGTAAATAATAAGAAAAATTAGCTATTGCCCAGCATGTGACTCCTTTAAGAATAAAAAAAAATCAATTATAATCATGAAAGTTACTACCCATAAAGCAAATCTAAAAACGTAATAATAATAATAGCAAAGCACCGATTCATGCATCTATTAAAATAATCTCCCATTACATGGATTTTAACTCCTCAAAAGGTTAATCGAAACAAATGACATAAGCTAGATCACAATAGATAACTTTACACTGAAATCTATGCTCATAATATGTCAAAACTTATTTAAGAAAATATGAGGGTCATGGGTCTCATAATATGTCAAAACTTATTTAAGAAAATATGAGGGTCATGGGTCTCATAAATAGTCATGAGAAAGATAAATAACTACTTAATGTATCAATCAAAAGAAACAAGCATATGATCAAACTAGTAGCAAGTTAGAATTAAATCCAGCACTTTCAACTTCAAACAAAGCTAAAAAAATGAAGTAAGAAAAACCAACTATACGACTCAAAACGGAACAAAGTGGCAAAAAATAAAATCAAGTTTGAAAGGCAACAGTGAAGGCTGCGACCAAAGGAGCACAAAAGAGGGCATCAACAGAGATTTGAAAAATGAGCAGAAAGAAACTAAATGACTAAGTTGAATGTAGCACTGCATCATACATACTTAAGCAAATTGGTCAATTTGAGGACTTAGACGTAAAAGGAAACTACCAAAAATTTTAATCTAATCCTAAAGTCAGAGTGTCGAATGACCAAAATAGAGGATGAGCAGAGACGAATGACAGCTTGCGGGCGTGCATTTGAAAACACAGACTCCAAATTCATGTTTATACCCCTCAGAAGAAAACTAAACACGCTAAGCTAATTCGAATGTAAGCGATAAAATAATGCACGCAACCTGTACGCTTTAGCACATTAGAACAAACCAAATAATAGACTCGAATGCTAACAACGCACAAAAAAAAACTAACAAGATAAACTAATTCTATTCAAGACTACTACTTGAGGATTTGTTATATTAGAAGGCAGCTAAAACAAACTGTGAAAACTCATTTGCCTCCTTAAGATACATGACAACGAAAGAGGACCCCTATTTTGACTAGTATGGACGGAATAAAACAAAATGATTAGCAAATAAACAATCAAAAAGTCAGAAGAGTACCACTCAACCAAGAAAACTCGGGAAGAAATATGAACAACAGAACAAAAACAGGTTAAAACAAGCAATAAGACCAAATCTTTGAAAAACGAAATAAATATAGGCTTCGGGAAGACTGTGAAGAATAGAAAACTCAGGCTAACCAACTAGCGCGTACGAATATAAACTTCATAAGAATCCATTTTACACTCCATACAGTTGACACACCAACTTATCTAATCATTTGGCTATCATATAATCAATAATGCACCAAAAGGATGATGGCAGTCGAGAGAGAAAGAGAACCAGTGAATCAATCGAAACAACCACAACTTTAAAAACCATATTTACAAAAAAAAGGTTGAAATAGAAGCGGAGTTTACATTTTTAAACGCAGCGAGTTGGGACGAGACAAACAGAGGGGCAGCGACTACTGATTATTTTGAGAAATTTCGATGGACAAAGAAATAAATGAGTGGCTCGATAAAAATCTGAAAATCTCAAAACATTCTCTTCTGAAAGACCCACTCTCAAATATCTATAGTTTCTACCTCACTGTACCTCTATTCAAAATTCAAAAAGAAATTTCTACCCTTTTTTCCGATGTCTTCTTCTGAATTTTTAACTCACCCACAAAAATCGTCCAACCACTCCAAAAAAAAAAAAGTCCCCAATTCTGTGAAGGAAATAGAATATATATCGGAGGGATCTAGGATTTCAAAACTTATTGGGGGGAAGAGAGGGCAATTTTCGGATGAGGGAAGGCCCAAATTCAAAATTTGAAAACCAAAACTTTCACTAATTCAGGCCAGCACCTTTTCCTGCGAAATCGCTCCTATTCCAAAAGGGGAAGGGAGAAGGGACGCTTAGGATGTATCGTGCGTCCTTGAAATACCACGCGGCACCATCTCCCACCTGCAAGGATGAGCAGACTCTACTGCTTGGGTAGAAATTTGCCAGCCACTGCTCCGCTGTACGAACCGAAAGGAGAAGAAGATGCTGGACGGTAGTTGATCACGTGCCATTAGCTCTGCTGCTTCACGCTTGAAGGAGATGAAGAAGCACACAGGAAAGGTCGAGTACTGGAATTTGGGGCTGCTGCGAGTGGAGTTGGGAACGTTTCTGGGAGTGCTTTCATTATTCCAGATTCTTCATTGTAAATGGGAAATTAGGTTGAACGGGTTGCCTGATTTGGGACGGACTGGACGGGTGAAGGAAATCAAAAAAAAGAGGGGTATGGGCCTGGGTCACTGGGAAAAGAAAGGTGGGTTGATTTGAGCTGGGAATAAAAATGGAATGGGATGCCTAGAGGAAAAATTTTAATTAACAAATGATCTGAAATTTGCTTCTAGAAGGGTTGAATGTATTTTGATTAATAAAATGAATTAGCATAAATTAATTTAATGAACTTTGTACACTTAACTAAATAAAATAATTAGTTTGGATATAAACTAAATAATGTCACTAACTCAAAATTATGCTAGATCGAATTAATAAAATGATTACTAAAATTATCATCCTTTTGAGACGATTTCGAATATTCACAAAAATATAATAACTATATACAAAATTATGTGAAACATATTTATCATTTAAGGATTACAGAATGACTAAAATTCACCCAAAATAGACTTGCAAATATATTTTAATTTTATAAAACTAAATATTTTAAGTCGTTTTGAAAATTAAGAAGCTCAGTGATTAATCTATGTTCCTGAGGTCTGAAATTGGGTGTCAATAGTGACTTAATTGCTAATTTATTCATCTATTCTCCTAGCTAGTTAAAAATGCTATAAAAATTAATATTGTCTGTCAATCATCTATCGTGACTCAATTACATGAAATAGAAAATCTCATAATAACTCAAAAGTATAATTGGAAAGAATTTTTGTTAGAGTTTTAAACCACACACAAAACTAGGTAAGAAACAATATGAACAAACACTTGATAAAAATAATCTCTGTATTATTGATCTTTGTACCAAACGACCCCTTAAGGTGTAAACTTGCTTGACATCAACAAATATTATTGTCTATTCAATTTTGATCCCTTTTGACATGACATAGCAAGTGTATATTGATTATATAGAATATCGAACGTGTTTTTACTATGGTTCTTAATTTTGTTGGTATGTGATTCAACATCAGACCTATTTTCAGGTAATTTTGATGTATTGAATAAAATATCGCAAGTTAACATTAGCAAGAGACATTCAAAGCCAAAACTATGTACTACATCCATCGACATCCATCATCTTTGGTCCTAAAGTAGCATTTATTATTGTTTTAATCAAATTTACTAGTTACAATGTCCAAGTGTTATAATATAGATAACGTCGATTGCTGATTTTTTTATCAAGTAAAAAAATGCATATGTTAACTTGCCCTGAACATCATATATATACAAAGAGGTCAAGAGTTGATGTCCTCCATGGTTGTGACACCAGTGAGACTTAGAAAGATTGTAAAATAGAAAGTTCCTAAAAACTTCTTCAATACATCCCTTTCCTTTTATATTCTTAAATTTTGGGTACAAGTTTTATTGAGTTGTGTTGCCATTTGATGTCTTTATTATTTTTTTTATTGATGAGGGTGGTTTGATATATTGTGTATAGTTTAAAATTGCTTCAATGAAGTATTCCATTGCTGTGACACCACTAGGACTTGGAAAAATTGTAAAATTGGAAGTTCCTAAAAACTTTTTAGCTATCTCCTTTTCTTTTCCTTTTCCTTCTAATTTTTTGGGTGCAAATTGTTTTGAGTTGTGTTAGCATTTGACATCTTTAATTTTTATTGATGATGGTGGTTTGATATATTGTGGAGTTTACATGAGCGAAACTTCGCTGCACTTTTAAGTCAGCCATATTGTCAAAAATATTGCTATCATAAATGTGGTACTTTTGGCAGAAGTTCAGGGTTAAGGACTGCTGCATTTATTTTGTTTACTCCTCCATGCATTGTTGGTGACTTATGTAAACTGCATTTTTTATGTTACACAATCAAACCGCTCTTTTTGCGTTTCACTTATTGTTATTGAACTCCTTTTTGTGGATCCTGGTTCCTGGATCCTGTTGGTTATTTTTTGGAGTGTACCTAAAGCTTCTTCCGCAAACTGGTTATAACTTGGTTTTAAGACAACCTCTTATTTTACATAATTGTTGCTGATGTTTTTGTGATGTGCGGTGCAGGTTTGCTTCTGTCATGACTGTTTTGAACCAACTTCAGCCGGCATATGTTGCTAACATGTGGAATGAAGCCTTGAACAACCGACTCGGAACTAAGGTTATGTTTTTGTATAATCACATTCATGAGATGATTCTGTTTTTGGAGATAAAAAAGAGTGGACAAAACACTATTAAAACAATTGATTAAGTTACTAATTTAAAGAAGATTTAGAATATTGTATTCCCAAAGATTGATGGCATAAAACAATTGTTATACTGAAAATATTTTATGTTTTTTGAACTCATATATCTCAAGCAAAACTGGTAAGTTAGTGTCGACATGCTGATCTTTTTTGTTCCATGCAGAACCTTAGTCTTCCTTATGTACTTGTGGAAGTTGAAAAGTGTGGATTCTCTTTTGCCAAATTGTTGCCTATTCCAGAGCAGGATGATTGGGTTTATAGTGATGGAAAGTTGACATCATGTGTTGCTATATACTTAGATGAATCTAAAACTACTTTTACTTTTCTCTTGGTTGCCATTTTGTTGGTGACAGATTATTTGAGAATAATAGATTTGCTATGTTGTGCTTAAAGTGAAGCATGCATCTTCTATATATGTAGAGGCTTAGCTACTCATTTTAATAGACTATTGGAGTTGCAAAATTCTTAACAAAAAGAAGGTTGAAGTCTAGTGAATTTGTTTTTAAGGTGAAGCTCCGTACCTTACCCATCGTATAATGAACAGTGTACCTTCCCTCATGTTTTAACATTTAATTTAAAATGTATAAATATACCAAATCATTTTTCTAAATGTACTTAACCTGTTTAAGTTATATTTTTACCGTATAAGATCTACATTTGACTCCCCGGTTCATCATCTGATCCTCAACCTTCACCTACTGAAACAAATCCAAGGAAAAGGTGTAAGGGGGTTGATGGTGCTATTGCAAGAGCTATATCCAAGATGGTCGTTGCTTCTACATTTAGACCTTCTGTTGTTGAGAAATGGAGTGACAAGTTCACCGTAGCGTTGGACGAATTGGAACGTGTCGATCACCAAGTATATCTGACCTGGTTGACTGGCAAATTGTCTAGTCCTTCCTAATTTTGTTATGTTCAAGTAAGAAGATATCTCCTATATTAAGTAGCAATTAATTGGTTTTTGCAGAGCAGGAAGATGTATATACCAACAATAAAATTAAACTTTGGCTGGAGTTAAAACTTGCTGCACGACGGAGCATTTTGTTAGAAATTGAGCTCTATTTCAGTGGAACCTCAAAGATAATATACTGCTTTCATTTTATTATAGTTGCATATTATATAGCTTATGCAAACATATAACAAATAATTATCAAATTCTCCAGGTATCCTTTCAAATGGTTTATTCACTGCAAGAAATTTTGATAACGACTAAGAGACTCAATTGATAATACATAGCCAACATGTTTTTTTTAGAATTAATAGTTATTTGGTAGCATTTTGGTTGTTGAAAAAAGATAGAATAAGATGTGTCACCTCATACACTATATTCATAAGTTGGGTAAATTCTTTAACCAGTTTGAAGTTATCTGTTGAGGTTAATTGTATATATGGCACACCACTCTACCCTTTCAACAATGAAAAATATATCAGAATAACTCTTAATTTTCAAAGAGATCCTGAGAGACAACTTCCGTAACAATTCAGCCTCTTAAATTCATGTCCGTAATCATCGTTCATTGAATCATACTCAACATAAATACATAATACACAGACTTGAACAAAGATAAGTGATTTACCACCACTTTTATATTGTACTCCATGTTTATAAAGTCTCAATTCCTTCTCCACTATTCCTCAACCAATCAATTTCACAATACAAAAAAACAAAAGCAAATATAGGAAATTACACAATTCAACTCTCATCCACAAACATAAATACAGAGCCTCCAAATTGAAAGAAAAGAAATAATAACATCTGAAAATCATTAGCAAGCTTACTCTTTCACCACTAAAGAACAAATCTTATCAAAATTGATCAAAAGTCACAAAGTGAATAGAGTGACATCATATGATAATCCATGTAATTATGGAGTCCACTGGAAAAAAAAATCAAATAAAATAAAATAATATATATATATATATATTTAATGGCCTTCAAAGAACACTTGGATCAAAGGCTGTTCAAATTGTACTGTAAATAACATTTGAATATCATAAGTTATGTATGTCAAAAAAATTGAAGATAAGCTTAAACTCATGTCTCTACTACAAGAGTTAAAGTCTCACCAACTACATACGACAAGACAATACATAAATTTTTCTGGTTCTTGAATAAGATCAATAATTAAACATGTCAAACCATCTAATGAACTTGAAAAACAACATCCACCACCAACCAATATCACAAACTTTGACCGCATTCCTCATATGATCGTTGATTCTATTGCTGAAATTGGTATATTGATCCTAATAGATATTATCATGCTAAAATAAACATGTTTATTGATACAGACTTCTAAAATTTCATTATGTATTATATAAGGAGATATACTGGGAATCATTCTTCGCTATGGTCCTAATAAATATGCAGGTCACATTCATCATAAGTGTCGAGAAAGTACCATTTGTGACAATCAGTTAGTATAACATTTCAGATTATATTTTCTCATTATGTGAAAAGATTTTGAATAAGTAAACACTTTTTTTGTTTGTTTGATCGGATCATGAGTTATCGTTTGGTCATTATCATGGTACTCTTAATCTTCTCTCACAATCTCAAAAAAATTCGTTTCTCCTCACTCTGTGAGAGGATTTTAGAAAAATAGAAGAAAATGAAATTGAAGCTAAAATGAAAACAGATGCAGATCTTATTGTAATCCTTGGAAGGAGGCTAGGAATATCTGCTTATCAAGGTACTTTGTGCTGAACTTTTTACCAACATAATTTTAGAAAATTACAAAACGTTATAAAGCTATGTGTTATAAAGGGTTGTCACTGCAAACTAGTTCAATTCCACAACAATGTGGACCTCCTTACCCACAGGAAGTAGGACTCATCAACTAGTATTCACATTTTCTTCAATTAATGAGTGATAAGTTTCATATCTATGTAAAAATAGATAATATGTACGCTTATACGTAGTACTTTAAGTTATAAAATTTTATATGGAGTATCAAAACATGAATTCTTGGAAGTGAGTACCACATTATTTTCTATACAATGAATATACCTACTATACGTGTATGTGTTTAATATAACCGGAGACAATAACTTTACAGAAACATTGAGTTTTTGACCAAAATGAGCTATTTTTAAAATCAATTCACCAAAATAATACGTTTTTAAGTTTTTCCACCAAACTAGTATAAACGTACTTTATGGTAACGTTTTAGGATATTTTCGTTATAAAAATTCAACGGACAAAAAGTTAACGGATTGGCGATGTTAAACGCATAAACGTAACTTTGAGTAACGTTTTAGGTGTAAAACGTTACTCAGAGTACGTTTTTGGAGAATCCAATTACGGGCCACTGACTCCAATCATGCAAAGGCGGAGTCAAATCAATCAACTGTAAAATGTTACTTTGAGTAACGTTTTACACTTTAAATGTTACTTTGAGTCCCGTTTCTTAAGAATCCAATCACGGGCCTTCGACTTCTGCAAATTTAGATTATATTTAGCTATAAAACGTTACTCAGAGTAACGTTTTACCTTAAAAACATTGCTACCAATTACAACACTCTGTTAAAGTTATATTCCTCCATTTTTCAAACTGCCCAAAGTGACTATAAATAAATGTTGTTGTAATATTTTGCATGTTCAAATATAATTCAGCAAAATTTTTCCTTGTGTGGTCCATTTTAAAAATAATATTCACAAAATTTCATCAGGTATGAATTAAATAAGTGAAGTTTATCCTTTGTTATGTTCTTATTATAGCTTTAAAATTATCTTTCTAATTTAATAATATTATTTAAAAAAATATTTTATCTTTATGTGTAGGATTAAGATGACGAGCTTTGAACATAATGTGATGGTTGCTTTGTATTGGGGTGGAGAAATAATTACGGATATGAACGGATTTAGGTATACTGAATGTGCTAGAATGATTATTAGCATGTCGACTTCAACTACCTATGTTGAATTGGTTGGATTGTTGCATGAGAAAATGGGAACATATAGTGAAAATATTCATATGGATATTTCTGGAAAATATCCATGTTCAATTCAAGGTAACAATACAAGGTTCATTGAGTTTAAAATTGAGAATGACCAATCTTTGTTACAATTTCTTTTCATACCTCAAAAATTTGCGGATAAGATTGATATAAATATTTTGGAGATGTATGTGAAGACTGTATCGACAGATCAAAATGTTGCATTTCAAGTTAGTGGTAATCATGGTTATCACATGAATTTGTTGGCTCAAAATTATGGCCTTACCACGATCAATCAACCTCATTTTGTAGAACCGATTGTTCAACCACCATTTCAACAATTGTTGATGCATGATCATCAATCATTTGGTGAAGGCTCAAGTAGTCAAATGCATATTGATAATAGTCACATGGAATATGAGGCTAGGTAAACAACAAATCTTTATTTTATTAAATTTTAGTCTAACAATTTAATAAGATAATTTTTTTGTCAGTATACACAAATTATCTCTTATAAATAGAAGAAATAATATTTTAGAATATTTATTATCGCTTTTAAAACAAACTTGTATATTTATAATTTTGCTAGAATTTGACTAATATTTTTTTACAGAGATATTGATATCAACGTTGATCTATATAATGATGTAAATGCTGAAATTAGTGATGAAAGTTCGGAGGAAGATGAACCTCCGAAAGATGGTGATGAAAGTGAACCTGATGAAGATATTGATGATATTAGAGATTTTTCTCAAAATGATGTAAATCTTCATAATCATGATCAGGGTGTGTCTCATGACATACCCTATTTCAGGACATTAGAGAATGAGGAAGACATTTTCATGTCTACATGTGAATCTGAGATGGAATGTTGTTCAGTTTGGTCTGAGCAAGCAAAAAAAGATTTAAAAAAAGGTATGCTTTTTAGTAGTAAAGAAAAGTTGAAAATGGCTGTAACGATTTGGAGTTTGCGCAAAAATAAGGAGTTCAAGGTGGTAACATCTACCAAAAGTCTATGGGTTGTGAGATGTAAGTTTTATAATTTATTGGGTTGCATGTGGTTTCTTCGAGGACGAAAAGTTGGAGATAAATTTTGGAAGATAGGAAAATATGTTGAAAACCATAGCTGTGAGACTGAGGGGCTTTCTAGCGGTCACGCCAACCTAAATACCAATTTGATTGCATCACTACTTCTAAATCAAATTAGAAAAAATCCTAAGTTCTTGGTGGTAGATGTCATTTCAAAGGTTCATGAAAATTTTGGTCACCAAGTGACATATAGAAAAGCATGGCTTGGACGTCAACGCGCATTTGAATTGGTGTATGGTGACTTTAAGAAATCATTTAGTGACCTACCTAAATTTTTTGCAGCTTTTCAACACTTTAACCATGGAACAATTGTGGAATGGAAATACGAAGAGTCTATGAGTTCATCGGAGGTAAAAACTTTTAAATTTGTATTTTGGGCTTTCAAGCCATGCATTGATGGATTCCAAACATGTCTCCCAGTTATTTCAGTAGATGGAACTCATATTTATGGAAAATATGAGATCAAATTATTAATTGCTGTTGGAATTGATGGAAATGACAACATTCTCCCTTTAGCGTTTGCTATTGTAGACAAAGAATCAAAAGAGGCATGGAAATGGTTTTTTAGAAATTTGAGTGCACATGTGATAAAAAGTAGACAAAATGTATGTGTTATATCTGATAGGGCAAAAGGAATCTTGACTAGTTTGCAGGAGTTGCGGCGATTTCAAGAGCCTCGAGTCTTCCATCGATTTTGCATAAGACATCTTAAGAGCAACTTTCAATCTAAATTCCAAACAAGGAACTCAGCAGATTGATGTGGAGGGCTGCTTCAGCCCATCAAGTAAGGAAGTTTGAGTCCATGATGTGGCAAATTAAAGAAGAAAATATCGAAGCACATGCATACCTCATGGAAATTCCCTTGGATAAATGGACTTTTAGCCATGATAATGGAAAAAAATGGGGAGTGTTGACAACAAATCTTTCAGAGTCATTGAATGGAGTGTTGAAAAAAGCACGAGGTTTGCCTGTCACTGCTATGATTAGACTTTCATTGGAGCAAACTATTGAACGGTATACCCGTAGGTCTCAAATAGCACACCAACTTGTAGAGCAAAATGAATTATGGATCGGGAGGTTCAAAATAAAGTGGGAGAAGAATTATGAAAGTTCAAAGAGGCACTTTGTTTTTTATTGGAATATACCCACAGGAGTATACGAGGTTAGATCTATAAAAGTTGATGGTATTGGTGGTAATCCTCATTATGTCTCACTAAATGAAAGAAAATGTGATTGTGGAAAATGTGTTAATTTGCACTTCCCGTGTTCACATGTCATGAAGGTAACTGATAGAATGGGAGGGCTAGCTAGAAATTTTGTTAGCGAGCATTTCACAATAGAGAATTATGTTGCAACATATTCTTGGTCATTCTCACCAATTGGTCATGAGTCATATTGGCCATCTCCAAGTTTTACAATGAGAAGTAATGAATTCTATCGTCGTCCTAATCGGCCAAGAACAACTAGAATACATAATGAAATGGATCGTAGTTCTACAGTTTATGAGCGAGCTTGTGGATTATGCAGGCAGACAGGACATGATAGGCGTCAATGTCCCAATCGTAATTAAATTTAAGTGAATAATTGTGGGTCAATGTCTAATGGTGTTAATTTTCTTTATGTCATCTAATGTAATGTGAATTTTTCCAGATTGCTAATAAAGGAAAATTATTAATGTTAATTTCCATTTATATTAATTTCCTTTCAATTATTAGTGCATAAAGTTATCTACTAAGGAAAGTCAAAGATATATAATTTTAACTTTGGATCATTACTGTGGAAAGTCCATTTCACCATTTGATGTAATTTTCTTTTCCAGATAAGTCGATAAAAAATAATAATTTACTATAAAAAAAACACTTCTATCACATCAAAATATCTTAAATACTTCCGATAACCAAACAATGAAAAACGACTTACTAATAACTTTTTGTCGTCGCAACAAAAATATAGGAAATACTTAATAGGACTAATTATTAGGACTTAGCCTAACATAACCTGATTGCAAGTAGGAAACGTAGTCTTCTTTCTTTTATTTTTGCACCCAATGTCTTTGCACAATTGATCATTGTACCATATGTGTAGGGCTGCAATACAAGTCCTTTTGTACTCTTTTCCAGCATATGTTTTCATGTATTCTTCCCACTCTTGTATATCACTTTCCATCTCTTTTATGCTTGGCAACTTCAATGTTCCATCAAGAAAATGTGCTAACCATTGGCACCTCATCTCAGATGTGTGGAGATTTGTTATGCTCCCTGAAATCACCCATATATATAGGCTTGTTTATATATCTCTACTACACTCACAGAGAATCAAATTGAAAGGGAAAAAGACAAGAAAGCCCTCGTGAGTTTTAGCTGAAGAGTTCATCAATGGCTACTGCTTCACAAACTTGAAGTTACATTAAGGAATACTTGAAAAACACAAACTAAATAGAAAATAATTGAGACATTCATGTATTCATAGAACATGTTGCTTTACAAAATAATGACTAGTAGCTTCAATCTTCACAAAAAATCTCTACTATTCACCAAGGGTTATCCAGAATATCAACAAGCTACATCAAACTAAGAAAAAATGATTAAGAAAACTTTGATGAGTTACATTCACTAAGAATCTCAATCTATACTGAAAGCACAAACTCAGTGGCACAAGCTAGCACGTCGAGTTTCATTATTTTTATATATTTCCAGAATTTACAGATGTTCATTTGGCTGCCTAAATAACTTTTGCTACTCTAAACATCTTACAAGAAAGTTGATATACAGCAGCAGTTAACTGCTTGTTAGACATGGGAATTCAATATTTTTAGACATGTGAATTCAATATGATACGGAAGCTTATTCCTTTATGCATCATTTGGACAGTTTGGCAACAAAGGAACAAGAGACGTTTTAGAAGACTTGATGTACAGCAGAACAATACTTGATGTACGTTTTAGAACAATGGTTCTAAAACATACACTTGCTAGCACACAAAAAGCAACAATTTTCAAGATATCTAAAAGGCTAACGATGCAAGCCTTCAAATAACCTGGAAAAACTAAAGAATTTCAGTTTTCCAAAAGGCTAAAACTCGATGCAAATCAATTTTCCAATATCTATCGAGAGTTGAAACAACACAAACATTAAATTAACTCGGAACAATTGAAGCATTTCAGATTCGGAACAACTTTGTTTTACCAAAAAAAATCAGCACTATCCCAGGTCCAGCAGATATAAAAAAATCAACTATAAGAACGTTTCTTCTTGAAAGATCTCGAGTTTGCAAAGTTTCAAACCAAAAGAGAACTGTCATTGTAAGAAAATATGATTGATTTCTTAGACACACACAAAACTAAATTTCCTCATACTCCAAAACATGGAAGAAATAATAATTTAACAAGGAGTACCAAATTTGGATACCTGAAACCTTTTAACTACAGTTCTTTGTTTCTCATTTCTTGTTTTTTTTTGCCATGCTGGTAAAGATAGTGACTCCCTGACAAACAAGAATAATTTTCAGTTGTTCGACTAAACAGAGGAGTATTTATGTCAAAAAAATAAAATAAAGATGTTAATAGTATCAGTCCCACAACGCTTAGGAAAAATCCTACGCTTCTCCTTCACTGATGGTTCACCACATTCGTTTGCATTCTCCACTTCATCGTTGGAGTCCTCTAAATGATTAACAACACCAGGGGTCTCAATGGACATTGGCAGCCCAGGTGATGAATTAAAGTTGGGGGCATTCTCAAAATGTTGAGGTCGAGAACCACCAAATACATTCTCAAGTGATGAAAGACTAGAATTCCTTTATATTTGTGATGCCGTGTATGGAACAATATCAGTATTTGTTGGTTGATATGTCATACCTGATGCCCCGGGAGTGAATTCTTGAGTTTGTCCCCTTGAAATGGAACCAAAATCACAAGTTGTGTGATCATCTTCGGAGACTGATTCATCCATTTCAATAAGCGCTCGTTCTTTCTCAACAGCACGAGCCCTCCTACCGGCAACACCACCTTTTCCTCGCCTACGAACCAGATGATGTAAATGATCATCATGTACCTCATCTCTTCTATAATCGGCTTGTACATTAATCCTAGCATCCTCGTGCACGTATGTCAAGCACTTTTCTCCTTCATTTCGAACCATTGCACGAAATATGTATAAATCCTCCATTGATGGCTGATCACCAAGGGCTTTTGCTCTATCAACCATGGAATGAATATGACGCACCTACACAAAGATTAATTTTTTTTCTTACAAACATTTTCCATTCTTTTTTCTAACAGATGCTCAAACAAAGATCAAAATAAAGCACTAATTTTATATTTCTTAAGAAAAAACATACGTAACAATTTTCCAAAGCAATATTATCCTCAAAAGATAAATCACAAACAAACTAAATCTAAGTCATGGAATAAGGTATATATTCAAATGCTGCAATATCACACCATCTTTTATGTCAAAAAAGTAAACAATCAATTTTGCACCACATTAGAATGGAAAGTGTTCGAAATTCGATAATTTTAGATCAATATTACTGCAGCACAAAGAGCTGTGCAAATCAGTAGCTTAAGTTAACCATTTAAGAAGTAGCTTAATCTAACCACACACATAGGTAACAATTTTCCAAGTCACATTTTTCGAGAAGAAGCAATATTATCCTCAAAAGATAAAGCACAAACACACTAAATCTAATACATACCATTGTTTCATATGCCGTTGAATTGGGCACATAACCTTCTTGTTGTTGAGGACGCTGAGTAGGATTACCAATAACAAGACGAGTAATGCGTCTAAACCAAATAAGGTAAGGGTCGTCATATCGAAGTGGTTCACGATTGATCGGAGCATCACAAACATATTGAAGTTGTTGGTTCCAAAGAGGCAACCATTGTGCATGCTCCAAGTTCCAATTTGTATTTCATCTGCCCCTACGATCATGGTGAAAATGTGTGGCGTCAAATAGAAATGGAGTTGGTATCGTTTGTTTTAATCCAAATTGTTTCATAACTCGATCAGGCAAGTGAACCTTAACGATATCCCAACAAAAAATTGGAGCTCTTACACGCCATATGTCTCGTTCAATTCGACAATAATCAGGAAGACTCTCAATTAAGTCATCCGAATATGGTTCCCAAATAAACTACATAAAGAAAAATACATGAGTTTCAACTACAATATATACACAATTTTTTAAAGAAAAACAATATAACATCATACCTGATCCTCTGTCATGGATCAAGTGCATCCCTAAAAATTTTCAACACATGCTTTGTGGTATCAGTCCAACTAAAATGTGCAAACCATCTAGTAGCACATGGGCCCCTAGGTAAACAAGCAAGAAAATTATTTTCGATGTCCCTTTGTGCTATTACCTGAGGTCTGAGGACGGTTACTCTCTCCCATGCCCAAATCTAAACATAATATATAAATATATAATTATGATATTATAAACTAGAACAAATATTTATAAAGAATTGATGTAATTATTAAGTATACCTGAAGCAGTGGTAGAAAGCCAGCTATCTCATTTTGGTTACTCTATGAGGCCTTACAGAGAAAGCGATACAAGCACGCTAAGGTCGCACTACCCCAACTATAAGAGCTAACTACTTTGAGATCCTCGAGTATAGGAAGGTACATAAGCTTTAGATAGTTGCCAGATGTATCTGCCATCATCATACCAGCAATCATCCAAAACATGTAACATCTAGCCATTTGATCGATCATTTCTTGTGTTGTCAAGTCAGGTAACTGTAGTTGCTCGAGCATATGCGCATTAAGTGCAGTTACCTTGAGGCTACTACGGTTGAAGTCTTGAGGACGTGGAATAAAATCTAACAATCTTTGACAAATATTTTGCCAATCCCCTATGGTCCTTATCGACTCATCACCAAGTACTGGATCACCATTCACAAGTAAGCCATACAACACTTCTACATCTTGCAAGGTGATTGTCGCCTCACCCGTTCTAAAGTGAAATGTATGACTCTCGGGACGCCATCTCTCTACGAATAGAAGGTTGATTTGATCTATAAACACCATATAGTCCTGATAATTCAATCATTTCTAAGACTCGTGGATGAATGGGATATTTCTTTACGAGGTCCCAAAATTTTCCATCACACCTCCTCGTATTTAAAATCATATTAACACTTCCATTCCATATATCCCGTGACCTACGGGTAAGTTGTTGAGTTAGTACCGATGGTTCAAGTGGACCGGGATCCAATCGATATGCACTATAACCAGTCATATACGTATCTATTAAAATGAAAAATCCATATGAAAGTAAATTAAATATAATTGTTAGTCCAATATATAACAACCAAATCAAAGTAATGTACTGTCACCAAATGTTTTATTAAAATATTGAAAAATAAATTCAATTTCAGTAGAAGCGCATTGCAGGTCAACCTATTATAGTCTTCCTTCCATTTTCATGTGAACATTTTTTTTCTTTGTTTTTCTTTTCATTGTTTCTCTTTGCATCAACAAGATGCATGAAATCAAAATAAAAACAGAACATGCAGATTATAATTTCTTGAGTGATTATTCCATATAACCAAAACGATATAAATACGAGAAGATAGAAATTCTAAAATTCAAGCATTCCATCTACTAGTTTGTAAGGGAAAAAAACATACCTCAAGGCTCTAACACAGGAAATTAACTTGATTCCAAGCTTTCCAGAAGATTGATAGCCGTAATTTATCGTGAAACTCTATATAACAAGAAATCCCCAAAATTGATTTGGAAAAACTACCGCTACCATTCCACGAAATGAGGTTTTGATCCATTCATTGTCTTCCTGTGTTTTTGTTCTTTCACGCCTCCTATTCGTCAAAAAATTACCGAACGAAAATGGAATATGGAGGCTTAGAAAGTGACAATGGCGGCTGCCAATTTTTTTTTACAAGGAAAGGGCTGAAAGGGTGAAGGGATGAAAGGGTTTGGCAGCTGTCACGTTAGTATAAAAAAGTTAATGAGGATAACAAAGTGACATCGTTTAGTGAGGATATGGCTCTGTCACGTTTTAGTATAAAAACGTTACCGCCAGTAACGTTTATTAAGTTAACGGCGTTATTTTTTTTAAAATCAAATAAAGCCTAAAACGTTACCATAAAGTACGTTTATACTATTTTTGTAAAAAAAATTAAAAACGTATTAATTAGGTAAATTGATTTTTAAAATAGCTCATTTTGGTCAAAATATCTAGAAACATTAATAACATAATTTAAAAAATGCACTCAGAAATAACAATTAATATCATAAGTATGAATTAATAACGGTAAAACAAATATACGAGGATCTGTAAATAAAATGAAACAGAAAGGAAAAAATCGAGTCCCGTAAAATGCACAATGTCCCTTCAGAAAATTATTTCCCTCTAATACCCGGAGTTAAAAGAAATGGATCCTCTTAGGATGGAACAATTTTATACACCACCGTATTGATACAAAAAAAACGTATCAATGAGATACTCAACAGGAGCAAAATACACAAATATTTATATTGTGTAGAAGGAGAAGTTCAAATTTTTTGTTGTTTCAAAATGAGAGGAAATCCCTCTAGTTATAGACAACAAACGGTAGTATGAACAAATGTCTATTGTGCCTTATTGAAAGGTTTCAACTATTCGAAAAAGTCACAACCCTTCGAAAAGGTCACAACCTTTCATAAAAGTCGCAACTTTTCATAAAAGTTATAATTTTTCATGCAAGGGAAAACTAGTTTTGAAAATGTGTAAATTAAAAGAAAATTCTTGTTTGTGGTGGTGCCATGTAGAGAGGCCTAGGTTTATATATATATATATATATATATATACACACACACACACACATACATACATACATATATATATATATATATATAGTTTCAATTAATAATATTCTTAACGTAATTTTCAAATAATATTATCGTTGTAAATTTTGAAATTTGATCCCGAGCTACTCTAATTCACATGTTTTTAAATACTTTAAGTTGCAATTAATAGTATTCTTAACATAATTTTTAAATAATATATGTTACCCCCATTGTTCCAATTTATGTGGTACATATGAAATTTTGAGAGTTCATATATTTTTCAAATATTATAAGCTGTTAATTATTATGATTTAATAATATATGTTAATCCCTTCGTCCCAGTAATATAGTTGCGTGAAATCTTTTGACTAACCAAAATTTTAAGGTTTTTAGTTTATTTTAGTACTATTTAAAAAGGAATATATTAAAATAAATAAAAATATTTTTTAAAAAATATTACTATATATAATAAGTGAGAATTAGAGGAGACATCATTTTATAATGCATTTGTAAGTAGGTGATCAGCTTTGTGATAAAAAGGAACTAAAGTAGGTGGACGAGCTTTGTGATAAAAAGAATTTTTCTCTCTTTCTAAATTGAGACAGTTGACCTCAAGCTCCGAGAAAATAGTCAAATGCCTCCTTAATTTATTACCGGATTTTCAATTACATACTCATATTTTGCAGGGATCCTAATACCCCTTTATATATTTTAAAAATGAAATATATAGCCCCCTAAAAGGTCATATTCAGATTTTTGTTAGAGAGTGAACACATTTGCCTGTCACGTCATATATATTAATTTTTAATAAAAAAAATTATAACATCTTTCTTTATTTTTTTTTCTTTCTATTTCCAGCCATTTTCTTCTTTTCTTGTCTTTCTTCTTTTCTTTTTCCTTTTTTTTTGTCATTGAAGAGAAAATTTTTAAGTTTTTTATTTATGCTAGTTTTAAACTTACATTTATGGAATGTACAGTTATGAAATTTCAAGTTTTATTGTTCAAAGGTAAAGTTATAAATCTTTGATAGTCTTTCATTTTTTGCAATTGAATAATCTTTTTTCCATTTTCATCTTCTTGCAACTATCAGAAGTTTATCAATTTGAAAGGTAAAATTTAGTAAGAATTTTAGTTCTAACCTTTTCATCTTCTATTTGATTGATACTCAAGTTATTTTCATGGATGAATTTGTTGAATTCTTCAAATCGAGGTATAACATTGGATCTTTTCATTTCTATTTTCAAAATAACATATGAGTTTCCTTGACAACCCAAAATTCTTTCTAAACTTAAATTTAAATTATTAAACTAGGGCACCAAAGAATTAAGATAAGAATTTGCTAATCCATTTGTCCATGTGGTTAGGCATAATGATTATCAATTTTAATAATATTAATAAGGAGTTGATTTTCAAAAATTTTCTAATTTCGTGCACAAATTGAATAAACAAAATTCTAAAATCAAGAAGAATAATGAAATTCCATGGTGAATCCAAACTTAGAGAAGGTGAGTGATGGAGAGATTTGGTTTATGTTGTTGTGAAGAAGAAAGGAAATAAATAAGAAAAAAAGAATAATTAAAAATACACATATTTATGAAAAGAAAGTTTTAAAAATATGTTATAAATCCATTGAATTGTGTGGATTGTCCTTTAAATTTACTCAAGACTTAATTGTATTCATGTATACATGTTCCCAAGGTGATAAGAATCATTTGGATAACTATGTACCTACTAATTGGACATTTATCATGGGGGCTTTTGGGGTGATATCTCAACTCTATAAATAGAGATATCATTCACCTTTTGTAATACATACTTGAATAAGAAAATTATCTCCTCTATCTTATACTTCTTGTCTTTTTCATCTTATATTCTGAGCTTTCTTTACAACACGTTATCAGCACGAGGTTGCTACTTGCAAAGAAATCCCCAGTTGTCAGTTGAATTCAAGATGAGTAATGGAGATGTATGCCTTCTTGATAGTGCTACAACGCATACAATATTAAAAGAAAAGAAATACTTTTCTAATTTGGTTATGAAAATGGCATATGTCAACACAATATCAGGTAGTACAAAATTAATTGAGGGCTCTGGAAGAGCGACCTTGTTACT